TAGTAGAGATGAAGGTTCCAAGTCAGTAACCACTTGATTTCTCCATGTACTATAATTCAGCAATAGGTTCTTACCTTCAACCTCTGTAGGGTAACCAAGAGCAGTGACAGTAGCATATGATGTTTGGCCATCTATGGGATCACATTGGCCAAAGAGACACAAGCCTTTCCTACTGGATTTATTGTATGCTTAGGATAAAGTGTCTCCTTGGAATATCACCCTGTCATTATAGGGTAACTCCATTTAAACTCTTTTTAGATAAGCATATGTATTTTAGACAACTTCTAAGGTAGTAGGTTTCCAAACGTTTTTATGTTTTTTCGAAAGGCCTTTATGGTGTCTTTCTCCAAATTCCCTCCTGTACTCTACCCATTAATCTCCCACTGCATTTAATCCTTCTGTTCTATTATTTACTTTTTTCCCTTTATATCACTTTATTCTATCTCCCCTTCTTTGAAATATTCTCCCATGGCCCCTCTATAGGTATTAGAAATTAAATACACATATCTAAAGATTCAAAACTAACACTCATGTATGCAAGAAAGCATGTGATATTTGTCTTTCTTAGACTTGGCTTCCTTACTCAGGACGATTGTTTCTAGTTCTATCCATTTACCTGTGAATTTTATTTTTCTTAACCATGAGCAATATTCCCCTATGCAAATGTGCCAGATCTTTCTTACTCATTCACCAGGTTGTTTATATGCCCTGGCTACTGTAAATAAAGAAACAATGAACACAGATGAACAAGTATTTCTGTGATAGGTTATAGAGTCCTTTGGGTGCATTTAGAAGAATGCTAAAGCTGGATATTGTGATAGATCTGATTTGATTAAATTAACTCTTCTCTTTCTTTTTGTTCAACTGGCTAAAGATTTGTCAATATTTCCCAGGGCCTCTTAGTTTCACTGATTCTATTTGTATTGGTGTTTTGTTTCTATTTCATTAATTTCATCCCTGAATTTGATTACTCTTTTTGGGTGTTGTTCTTGTTTTTTCCAAGGCTTCAGGTGCATCATTAAGTTACTCTTATTATATTTGTCGTGTTTTTTGATTTAGGCACTTAATGTCATAAACTTTCCTCTCAGGACTACCTCCATTGTGTACCATAGATTTTGGTATGTTGTATTTTCATTTTCATTCAGTTCTAGAAATGTTTAAATTGCCTTCTGGATTTCTCCCTTGATCCAACAAATTTTCCTTCAGTAGTATGTTTAATTTCCTTGAATTTGTGGACTTTTTCTTGTTCCTATTGCTGTTTATATCCAGTTTATTCTCTGTGGTCATAACAGGGAGTTTTTGCAATTTTTCTATTTTTTTGAGACTTGCTTAGTCTCTTAATACATAGTTGATTTGGAGACTCTTCCATGGGCCTCTGAGAAGAAAATGTATTTTAGTGTTTCGCAGGAATGTACTGTGAATGTCTATTAGGTCCATTTTATTTATGATGTCATTTAGCTCCAGGTTTTCTATATTTAATTTTTGTCTAGATGATCTGACTATTGGTGAGAGTGGGTTACTAAAGTCACCACCATCACTTTGTTTGGGTCAATCCATGATTTTACTGCTAATAATTTTTTAAAATATAGAATTGGGTATTCCTCTGCTTGGTATATACATGGTAAGACCTGTAATATCCTCTTGGTGTATTTTTCCTTTAATGAGTATGTAATGTCTTCTCTATCTCTTCTGACTAGTTTTGGTTTGAAGTCTCCTTTATCAGATATTTGGATAGTTGTGCCTCCTTGTTTCTTAGTTCCATTTGCTTGAAATACTTTTCCCATCATTTTAACTTTAGATGCTGTCAATTTTATGGTGAGGTGTGTTTCTTGGAGACAGCAATAAGGAAAATCCTATTTTCTCATCCAATCAGTCAGTCCATGCCTTTTTATTTGAGAGTTGAGACCATTAATATTGAGAATTATTATTGGCCAGTGTTAATTAATTTTTTTATTTGGTTGTGATCTTGTTTTCCTAGACCTTTTATGGATAATTTTTATGGAACTATTATTTATTGAATCCTTCTTGTCTGTTAGGTGTGTCTAATTTATTTTTCAGACTGAAATATTCCTTCTAGTATCCTCTATAGTGCTGGCTAAGTGAACATGAATTCCTTAAATCTGGTTTTATCATGGAAAGTTTTTCTTCACCTTGGATTACAATGGATAGTTTTGCTGAATGTAATAGTCAAAACTGGAACCTTTGTTCTTAGATGACTTGTAGGATACTGCCCAAGGCCTTCTGGCTTTCATAGTCTCCATTGGAAAAAAATAACAAATGTTATTCTGATGCCTTGCCTTTCTATGTGACTTATCTATCTTTCTTGCAGCTTTCAATACTTTTTCTTTGTTTTGTACACTTACTGTTTTGACTATGATGTGGGGAGTTTCTTCCCTGGTCCTGTTTTGTGGTGTTCTGTGTGCTACTTTTACTTTAGATCTCTTAAGTTTGGAGAATTTTCTGCTAGGATTCTATTGAAAATATGTTTTGTGCTTTGATCTGAGTTTTTTCTCCCTTTTCCATATCTATGATCTTCAGGTTAACCTTTTTATAGTATCCCAGAATTCCTGAATGTTTCCTCCTGTTTTTCTTTTTTCTTTAACATTTTTTTTATTGTTTCACTTTCTCTCTCTTTTCTTTGAGATCTCATAATCTCTCTTCCACTTGATCCAGTCTATTGGTGAGGCTTTCATGTAAACCTTTTGTTGGAATTCTCGGTTTTCATTTTGAGTTTTCACTTTCTTTTCTTCGAAGTGTTTATCTCTTTATTAAATTCTAATTTCATCCCTTGAATTATTGTACTTATTCAACTCTGCTGTGTAGTCTTTAACTAGTCTCATATTCATATACTATTTGAGTTCCTTGAACATATTTATAATTGTTATTTTGAAATCATTGTCTTACACATCAGCTAGGCTGCTTTTCTTAGAAAACATTTGATGGGTGTGCTAATTTCTGAGGGGATGTATTGTCTTGGTTAGTCATGTTGTTTGTGTTTTTGCTATGGGACTTGGTCATCTGGTGGTGTTTCTTGGCGTGCATTTCTGACCATGTCTTTGATGCCCATGTATTTGTATATTTGTTTATTGTACCTTAATTTGTCAGGGTGTGGCCCAGCTGAGTGGTGCTTGGTGTTCAATCTTGGTCCACTCTACTGATGTGAAAATAGGCTTTAAGATGTGATCTCATTTCAAGTAGGGATAGGTGCAGTTTCTAAGGCTGCAGGTTAAGGACAGATTCCATGAAATCTCATAGTGTTTGGTTGTACCAGGTGGCTGCTAGGGTGGGCAGATAGGTCAGTGTTGATTTTTGATTGGAGTAGAGGGTTGATTACCATCTGGTGGTGATCAAGAGAGAACAAAATAGTAACTCTTTGCTGGGTCTGTCTGTGCTGATACACAGGATGCACAACCCATCTGTGTGGGAATGTGGTGATGGCAAGAAGGTGGTGAAGTTCTGTAGAACTGAACAGCCTAGGCTGCTGTGATGGTGGAAGCTGAGCTAGATCTGGGACTGTAGGATTTTGGAGAGAGAATCCTCAGATTGGGGAGGTATGTAGAGTTGAGATCTGAGCTAAGCTTGGTAGTATGAGATGGCAGAAATGGAAGTCTCAAGTATGGAAAACTCACCAGATGGGGCAGATGTACGGGCTGTACAACTTGCACTAGGTCAGGGAGTGTGAGATGTAGAAGAGGACAACTTGGAATTGGGAAAGCCACCAGTCTGGCAGTTGGGATTTGAGACCAGGGCTTAGCCTGGGAGTATGTGTGTAAATGTTCAAATGTTAAAGACAGAGATCTTTGTGGCCTGCTTTGGATGTGAACTACTTAGGCTTAAAGCATCATAAAACAATGTTGCATACTAGTGTAAGGCTCAATAATGCTCTAGTTATTGCGTTACATGCCTTAAGCATGAGGCATTCTGGCTCTTATTTCACAGTAAGAACATATTGTGCAATGTTTTGTGCGCGCGCGCGTATCTTTATGTACATGCATGTGCTTGTTAGAAGACAACCTGTGAGTGATGATTACAGTCTGAGATATAACATTCTGAAAATACTTGGTTTCTCGCAATGTTTTGTGCGCGCGCGCGTGTATCTTTATGTACATGCATGTGCTTGTTAGAAGACAACCAGTGAGTGATGATTACAGTCTGAGATATAACATTCTGAAAATACTTGGTTTCTTGATACACAATTTTCCCTGCCCCCTTTTTTTGCAATTCTGGCTACAGAGTATTGGGTTTTAAAAAACTTTAAATTTTACATAGAGCTCTTAAAGAATATCTGCTTTGGTATTGGAGAGAAATGGGTCATATAAGATAAATAAAGAGAAAAAATAAAAATGAAATGAGAAATGGACCACATGAAGAGTATAGGCTTTATACATATGTGCAAGTAATCCTTTTGGCAATATCAAAGTGCAAGTTGTCTTCTAAAGTCCAATGAATCTATGGTAAATGAATATTGGAAGGTGACCTTTAGGTTGTCAAACTTCCAGGCACTTTATTTCAAAATAAAAATTTATTAATTTATTGATTTATTTATTTTATGAAGTCCAGGCTGCTTTGTACTTTCTGTGTATCCAAGGATGGCATTTTACCTTGAATCTTGTCTCTCCTGAAGTGTTGAGATTGCAGGTGCACACCACCACATCTGGTTTATTTGGTGCTGAGAATGGAACCCAGCGTTTCATTAATGCTAGGGATGCACTCTATCAACCAAGATAATTCCTTCTCCAGCCCCTCAAAATAGACATTTCAAAGGATGATATTAATATTGCAAAATAAACTCCAGACTCATTAGGATAAAGTTCAGAAGATGACTTGCTAGGATGTCACAGTTAGCTCACTTGTCTAAATACTGAAAGAAAAATCATGCATACTTTGTTAAAAAGAAAAGTTTGAACAACTTAGGAGACAAATGCCATGATATTCAGATATCTTAGACACTTCTGTTGGGATTTAATTTTTGGAAATGTTCCCAGAGATTCCGACAATTGGTGCCCACTTAGCAGTACATACACTAAAAACTGGAACAACACAGAGATTACCATGGCCACTGTGCAATGATGGCATACAAATTTATGAATCAATTCAGACTTTTATATGTAAGGTCTTATTTACATGTTATATGACATTGGTTACAAGAACTAATAATGAATTCCCTAAGTTGAAAAGAAAAGAAACGCCAATAATTATTTAATGCAATGTTGTTTTTACACACTGCGTACAACATTGGGAATATTATGAAGTGATAGTTTATGCTAGTCAGATGTCATAAATAAATTATTCTTTTATTATAATCTCAAAATACACCTATTCAAATATGCCTCTTACCTGTCTATTGTCTTTCATTCCTTTTAGATTTTCCTTTCTCACATCTTTTTACATGTGTTTAGGCTACCGCAAAAGCCATTTTATTCTTGTAACTCTTGTAATCACATTGGCTTTTAGGATCCCACAGCTTTAGAATTGAAGGCTAGATTACCAGAAAGAGAAATAAGTAATTCACTGACTGCATGTTAGTGCTTATGGCTGAAAGTGATATGCTGCCTAATTGTATTAAGGAGACAAACGAGAGGAGGTAGTGATCAGTAGGCACTGCATTCTTGGTCAATATGGTGGAGTGGAATGGAACACGTTCTAGGAATGGGTAAGATGGAGAGAAATAACAGACAAGAACAGAGTTCAGAAATGGCTGTGGCTACTAGGCATTTTGAAGCTTATGGTGGAATCCAGAACAGGTTTCACAAATAATCTGACAGCTGTCATCTCTGTACACATTTCTCTTTCTTCTCACAAGATGTGCTTATATTGGTTTTAGAACTGTCAAACTCATAGTCACTGAGAACATGACTAATTTTATAGTATAATGGGTGATCTCTGAACCATCTTCCTTCCCTTATTTTTATTTATATGAAAAATAGGCTTCTAAATATGACTTTCTACATATTCAAAATATTACTGCATTCCTATGTATTTTGGTCTAATACAGAAAATGATTAAAAGTGTGCAGTGTGTTTTGTGTCACTGGCAAGGTGAGGAATTCAATATTTTACACTTCTGTTATACATAAAACCTCTGGCTATGCCCAGGAAATCCCTGGATTACTGCTATGTATAAAATGATGAATGGGATACAAATATATCTGAGTTATTGTTTCCCCACTAAATGAATAACATATTGCCCTAACTGATATTCCAGCCCCTTAGGATAGTCAAAGTAATTTCCTCAGGACTCTGAACACTACAGTGCCTACTTTGTTACTGGAATTCAAATTGTTAGTGTTTTCAAGGGCAAACCAGAAACTTCTCACAGTTATCTCACAAGTAGTACTGTGAAAGAGTTCAGTAGAATATTCTCCATATTTTAATTATTTAATTTCCATTGTCAGTAAGACTGTAGATAACCACATTGTGTCTGTGACTGTCTACACAGAAGTTGTTTGCTTAGATATTTGACAAAGGAATCCCTATAATTAGTGAGGTATCTAAGGTGGAATATGAAGTAATTCCCCATGGAACAAGTCAATTATCATGTCTGTGTAGCTTCAGCTTAAATCAACATATTTAAGACTCCTGGTTGAGAAAGATGGGTTCATTAAGACAATTAATGAATGAATTGAAGTAGCAGATCCTTTTAAGAAAGAAAAGCCTGTAAGAGTTACTATGTTTTAAAGAAAATATTTTCTGTTTGACAGCTTAATTCGAGCAGAAAATGATAATCTTTTAGACAAAGAAAAAGTAAATGTTGGTGTACAGACACATCTGCTTTCAATAATTCCCTACAGTATGTTTTGTGGCTTTCTAATAATGGGCTTTGTCATCCAGGACACTGTTTTCTTTCTCTGTTCTCACTATTATGAGAAACATTGTTTCTGGATAAACAAATTTAACTTTAACTAATATTAGTGAAGATTAATACAGTCAAAGTTCATCATGTGTCTTCAACTTGGCTTCTTGGAGAATTTTCTAGTGGAAATTAGGAATGGAGCATGTGGGCTCGATTTATAAAATATTTGTATGTCACTAACACGTGTATGGAACCTGTGCACCCATTTGGGGGTGCTGCCATTAGCTGTACGTCATAGTAATTTCTGAGGACACTGGGAAAGATTTAAGTAAAATTATTCCTGAAAATGTCTTGAAGGAAATGTTGACATTTAACTATCTGATTGGAGCTTTTAGCCAAATCTTGTGTTAGAAAATGTTAGATGGTGTTTTCTTTTGGGGGAAGGAAACGGAAGAAGCCTCCTTCTAATGATAAGGTGAGATAGAACATTTTATTTTCATATGTTGCTTCATCTAAAACTTGCAAAAACTCCCATTCAGAACTACAAATTGCATACTTAGACTGTTCATGGGATCTCACAAAACAGCAGTCCTCTGCTGTGCTGGGAAATCTCCAGGTGACTGTTTTTTCAAGGAAATCCTAGAGGCGGAAACAATTGGCCTCTGGAGAATCCATCAGGGAAGAAAAACAGAGCAATATCCTAGAGCAGAAAACACTCCTAGGTTTATATAATGTGCATTAAAGTTGACGTCACTTGTTTTCGCTGCAGGTGTTATGTCCTGGTGGTTAAGACAGAAGTCTCAGCATCATTTTTCCAGGCATTTAAGTTTTGTTCTACTATTGATTCATCATGAGAACTGGGGACAAAATTACATAGATTCTTTGTATATCAATGTGCAATTTGTAAGGTATAAAATAGTAGTATTAACTTCAACAGATCTTGTGGGAAAGGTTAAGAGTATCAACACTAATGCTTAGAAAATGGATCTGACAACTAGTAGGAGCCTTACAAAAGTGATTGCAATGATTATTAACTTTGTTGTTATTGAATCTCTGTTAAGTTCTTGAAAATTAAGGGGAGAACTGGAGAGAAAAATCATTCTTGTAGATTTTTTCAAAATAAAGAAAAAGAAAGGCGAGCTGGAGCTACAGGGAGACCCTGTATCAAAAACACCCCCCCCAAAAAAAAAGAAAGAAAAAGAAAAAAAGAAAAAGAAAAAGAAAGTAACACTGAGAAACTAATAAAATATATTTAATATTGACTTAATACTATAACATTACATATAAATATGAAGTCTATGGCTCTTGGAATTTATTATACAGGGAAAGTCTACTGCATGTCTATACCCTACCTGCTATTAGCTTTACAAACTGTTAGTGACAGAAGTGAAATATAAGACATATGCATGACATGAAAGAAAGTGA